TGGGACCAGTCATTTTAAGAAAGGCCCCCATTAGAACCCATGAGAAATGCAAGAAACGCATTATTGCTCAGTCTGCAATATCTTTCCCAGAACAAACACCAATTGCAAATAGAACAGCGTACTATGTTGCAAAGAGTGAACTACCACTGGGAAAATTTAGCAGTCTTTGCAAACTTCAAACAGCAAACGGCCTCGATCTTGGTTCCACTTGCCTCTTACCCGTGACTTCAGTGGAAATTTCAAATTCAGGATCTGACACAGACTGATTCATGTTCTACACAGTTCTTACAAGTTCATAGAAATGTCTGTTCAATTAGAACCAAGTATTTAAGTTGATGATTGTAATTTTTATACAATGTTGTAATTTGTGTTTCAACAATTTTTTTGATTAATGTTTTGTTTCCTTTACAATCTTATATTTAATGTATAATATTGTAAAGGAAACAAAACGGGAAACAAAACATCAATCAAAAAATTGCTCCCTTTTTTATTCGGGCTACTTAAATTTATTTTGGGCTACCAAAAACTGAAGAGTCCCTGCCCGAAGGGCTACCAGGGATTTTGAAATTTTGCGAGCCCTGCATTCAGGACATTTATCTTCAGCGGTGCCACCATAAAGCACACAGCATCATCAAGGACCACAGCCACCCAGCACATCAGCAGTTCTCCTTGTTACCATCTGGCAGACGTTACAGGAGTCTGTCTGCTTAGACTACAAGATTTAAAAACTGTTTTTACCACCAAGCCATACAACACCTGAACCACATCTCACACACTACACACCACAGGATGCACACAGAAGCTGTCCTAAAGTTGCTCAAGTACATTCTACATTCTGCACTGGTCACTCACTTTATCAGTAATCACAAAAAAAACAAAACCTCATTCTCCGTACTGTACTGTACTAACTGCCACTTTTAATCTTGTACTGCTCAAATCTGTACTGCTGCTCACTCCTGACACTTTATCTTATGTGCAATTATATTGTTTCCACACTTTAAGAGGGAATGCCAGGAATCGTGAACCTTGTAAACAGGTTCTATTTATGGTAAAATGGTAAATGGCCTGTATTTATATAGCGCTTTACTAGTCCCTAAGGACCCCAAAGCGCTTTACATATCCAGTCAT